CCTGAGTAGAACAGCTGGTTGCCTACATTGACTAGGGTCATTAATTTGCATCTTAGAGACCTCGTTCCAGGGCAGTAGAGTAGGAGATGCTGAAGATGCTGCACTGTTGCCTTTGTCTGCTCTCTTTCCTCACCTGCTTTAGCAAGCAAAATGCCTAGTTTTAGCCCCCCAGGCGGAGGCAGGGACCAAAGGAGGTGCAGCAGCTGTCTCAGATACAAGCACAAGTTCTCCAGTGAGACCTGGCAACCCACTGAACTGGTAAATATGTTGACAGATCTTCCCTATAATCCTTTGCTCAAAATTCACATGGACCGAATGTTCTTTCCACAAATTGAAAGAATGGGAAATGTCCAGTTTTCCCTTTAAAAACACACACTAAAACCCTGAATTTGTGTTTTATAGGGGTATGGCAAGTGTGTTGATAACTATCTAAGTCCTCTGGGGACTTATCTGGGGAGCCTCACTGAACACAGTGGGACTTACTTCTGAGTAAGCCAGTATAGGATTGCACTGCACAATAGGCAATGTAGTTTTAGCACTCCGCCTATGGGTCTAAAAGCACACCACCACGTTCTTGTGTTCTCTGTTAATTAATCTAAACAGACAGCCACTCCCAGCTCCATCTTCCAGGTCACTAATGCATATTAGAATCCTCAGTTTATTGGGCAACTGGGAAGCCAGAATCAGGGGCTCCCTGTTCCCAGATACTCCCTGTTCCAAGATTAATCAACAGGAGGTGCAATTATGTGACCCTATATATGTGGTGAACACCCTGCATTGTACTTAAGAACCAGATAGAAATTCTGGCCTCATAAAAGCTTATCAGATGCACTGCGCATCATGCAACACCAAAAACACCTGCTCTTCTATTCTTCTTATAAATTATTTGGAATAATTAACCTCTCTAGATTCATATTCCTAATTACATCGGGGATGCAAAACTCTACTACAGTGTTTCCCAAACTTGGGTCTGCAGTTGGTTTAGGATCACAATTCCAATCATCTTGCTAGCTCAGGATGATGGGAGTTGTAGTCCATAAACAGTTTGAGGACCACGTTTGGGAAACACTGCTGTACCCACAATGTGATGGCCTGGGATTCGGACTCGGAGGCTGAACCTGAGGAATTCCCCGCCTCCAGAACCAGCTGAGCTGGGGCTGGGGCTTGAGCCTGAAGGGTCCTCACCTGTGCTGGATCCTCAGGTGCAGGCACCAGCTGAGTCTGCTCTGGCTCCTGAGGTGATGGAAGACCCATTGCCTGCAGGTGCTCCACTCTCAGCCCCGTCAGGGGAGGCTGAGGTTGCCTCTGGGTCTGGTAACCCTCCAGCCTCTCCTGAGCTACAGAGGCTCAGGGCAGAGAGGTGGAGGGAACTAAGTTCCCGCAGGAGGAATGCTCGCCTCCAGGCCAGGAGAGGTGAGTCACTTGTGGACCGGGGCCGCCCTATGCCTCTGGGCAGATAAAAGCCAGCCAGCCCCAGTCCCAGGTTGCAGGAGCAACATTGTTGGTAACCTGTTCCTGCCTGTACCCTGTCCTGCTGGATCTCCTGACCTCGCCCGACTCCCTGCTTTGGACCCAGCTTCAACTTTGATGAACGGCCTCATTACTGCACCCTTGACCTCGGACTGGACTCGGACCACGCCTCATGGAAACCCACGGGACCAGCACACACACAAGCTCTTAGGGTGATGGTTGGAAGTAACTCTTTTTACAATTAAGTTTATGGCAGGGCATCCTCCAGATGTTGCTGGACTATAACTCCCATCAGTACGCATTAGCATGATGGGAGTTGTTGTTCCACACCTTCTGGAAAGCACTATGATGGCTTCTGCTGGTTTGTGGGATGAGAAAAGGCATGTTTGGGCTAAAATTTGGGGAGCCGAAGATTTGTGGGTATAGCTTGACCAAGCCAAGCTGCCGCTTCCTTCCGCTTCAGCCCACGCTGAGAGTCACAATTCACTTTCTTACCACTTTTGAGCTTCCTAAGAACACCTTTGCTCCACAACTCTCTCTAGAATCCTGGTTAGCAATTATATTTTAACAGTGGGAGAGTGGAAGAGAGTCTATATTTTGCCTTGAGTAAAAGCTGAAGAGCCAGCAAGCATCATATGCTCCTCCACCCGCTGACTCATTCTGGTAAAAACTGGGCGAAACACAAGCAAAGATCTCTTTAATCCTTTCCTCCCCAGTTCATCCATGGTGCCTCCATTGTGAGACGCAGGCAAAGAGGCTAAAGAAAAATCTACCCCACCAATGTGAACGGGAGCAAATAATTCTGTTCTTATTCATTCCTTACTTGCCAAGACCAAGGGGTGGGTGGCTGGGTGGGTGTGCTTTGACTCTCCAGATGTTGCTGAACTATAACTCCCAGCAGCCCCAGCAAGCACAACCAGAGATAAGGATGTTTGTAGCTCAGCAACATCTGGAGGGCCAAAGGTTCCCCACACTTGGCTTAGGTCTTGGCTCACACATAGAAGCATCAGCAGCTGAGAGTGCAGATAGTAAGGGCAGGCTCCTTGGGCCTGGAGGTCATGTGAAAGATGGTCAGGTGCAAGCAAACAAATAAAACCAGACTCCTGCATCTTTGATAGTTGCATAGAAAGGGGGATTTCAGCAGGTATAGCTTGCCTGACCAGCGACATGTGCTGAAATTTCCTCTTCCACACAAATGTTAAAAGTACAGGAGCCTGGCACACTTTTTGTCTCTGACCATCTTAGTTTGGGGGGGGGGTACACAGAGTGAGCAGTTCATTTTCAATAGCCTGCCTCTCCTCTCTAGGTCAGGTGCGTGGCTGACCTCCAGCTATTGTTGGACTCCAACTCCTATAAGCCCCAGGCACCACGGCTAAGGGTAAGGTTACCAGATTTTTTTTCAATGAATCCGGGGACACTTTTCAACTTCAGTTGAAGGGGGTGGATTTTGTCAGGGGACTGTCCCCAGGAAACGGGGACATCTGGTAACCTTAACCAAAGGTCCAACAACACTGGGAGGGTCACACATCTCCCACCTCCTGCTCCAGCCTAATCTCCACTTCCAACCAGCCACCTTTTCTCCTTCAACCTACTTCCCTTGCACTTACTTATTTTAAGCATTTTTCACTCTGTTCTTCAAGCAAAAAAAGCCTGCAAGAGCAACTTACATACATAACAGCAAGGATAACAAGACAGTCCTTGCCCGCAGGCTTCCCATCTAAAGTACACAACACAAAAGGGAAAAAACAAAAAGAGATGGGAAGGGAGAAAGAAAACAAGCAAAACTCAGGATGCTGCCTGACTATCACCTGTTTCGTGGGAGAGGGATGCTAGGACATGGTGAAACTTGAAAGGAATCGAACAAATGCTCAACCAAGACCTGACATAATCTAACCTCGGGCAACCTTTGTGCAATGAAGTCCGGAGGAATGCTCAATAAGCTAGTCACCTGGAGCAGTCCTCAGGCACCGGTTCTTAAGTTAGGCAGCAGGAGGGCCAACTTGAATAAAATATAGGGGGAGCGCATGTCAGGTAGACCCTGCCCCACATAATCGAACACATGACACGGTGCATACCATTTGAATGGCAATGCCCATCAACTTGGGGAGTTCTAGCCCCCTCAATTTTTTGGGGGGGGGGGCAAAGGGACCTCGGCCCCCAGGAGTCAGCTCCTATGTTAGGCAGTAAGCTCTTATATGAACGACCAGATGGATAATTCGAGCAAAGGCTTCCCACTCTTAAAAAAAGGATGCTTAAGTTATATATCACCGCTATTGCTCCCTGTCCTGCCATTCCACCCCTCATGAACACAAAACAGGTGTGTGCCTTTCCTTCCTGGGAAATATTATTATTACAATGTTGCTTGCTGAAAGGCTGCACCAGCTGAATTTCCGCCTGGCGTGTGCAGCTGTGCTTTAAAGCCACAGCAGTGCTACTGCACACCTGGGTAAGGTAGCTCAGCTGGTTAGAGCATGGTGTTGGTCATAACACCAAGGCTGAAGGTTCAATCCATCTAAGGGGTGGGAGGCAGCTGCAGAGTCCAGGGGGCTGGACTAGATGATCCTCAATGTCCCTCTTCCGAACTCTACAGTTCTAGGATTCTATGGCAAGCAACCCTTTAGGCAATATACATATACATATATACACGCGCACGCCCCACACACCCACGCTCACCTGCGGTCGTCTTGTAGCCGCGCGGGCACGCGCGCTCTACCTCCACCGTCGCCGTGGCTCCTCTGGGCGGCCGGGCTGCGTGCGGGTCTGTGCGGGGGACGAGGGCGGGGAGAAAGGGTCACCTAGCGCATGAGAGGCGGCTCCTCCTCGGAGCCTGCAGCTCCGGCTGCTGCCCCCGGCTCGTCTGTGTGGCGGAATCAAGGGCGGCGGGGAAGTCAGCCCTCTGCCCAGGCCTGGCCCCCTCGCGCCCTGCCGGGAATCGGATTACAGGGCCGGCCTCCCTCCCCGGGATTTATTTGGGGCCCTCGGCACCGCGGAGATTTAGCCGGAGAGCAGCCGGGGGCGGGAGCAAGCGGCTGCTTAATCCAGGCCGGAGGGGAGCGGGGCCGAGCTGGAGGCAGAGGAGGGAGGAGGCTTCCCGCAGAGCCCCGCCGAAGCATGTCTACTCGGGAGTAAGTGGCGCGGAGGACAGGGAGATGCCCAGGCAGGGAGACAGAGCTAAGCCGCCCGCCGCCGCCGCCGCGCCCACAGCCAAGCGTGTTTCGTCTCGCCGCGTTTTCCCGCCCTAGAAAAGGTTTTGCTTCTGCTGCTGCTGCTGTTTGGCCACGTTGGTGCCCAAGAGAAAAAGCCCTCGCTTGCTGCTCTGTTGTATCTGCTCAGCGGCAGAAGGCGGGGTGGATGCCAGGGCTCGATCCTGGAAAGGAAAGGCCAGAGTGCCTCTGAGCATGGGCAAAGAGCCTTTCCCTCACCGCGATCGGTTACGCCGGAGCCGCGACACATCCTTTCAAAGTGGTTCGCGGAGAAGCTTCTCGGGGCTCTTTTGCCCTTCCTCGTGGGAAAAGCAACAAGCGAGAGAACAGGGTTAAGAATGGACTTTTCACAAATATTGCTCCGAAATTCTCACTGGTCTTGTTCAGATTTTACTCCTGGTGGCGATAGTCTGCCTTTCTTCCAAGGAGCTCAAGGTACTATCAGCCTACATTTTTCTCTCTCTAACCCCCACCCACCCCCGCCGGCTTTTATCCTCACAATAAGTCTGTGGTGTAGGCTAGCCTGAAATTAATTCTGGGAACTGTAGTTTACCCCTCTCGGGAGCTACAATTCCCAGAATCCTAACAAACTGCAGTTCCCAGGATGCTTTTTAGGGTGGTGGGAGGCAAGGGCTTTACATACATGGTGCTTGTGCAGCCCCTGAGAGTTTCATGGGAAACAGCCTGGTGTAGCCGGTCTTCTTGGAAGTTGCTGCAATTGAGCCATACCTTGTTGACCTTAAAGGATGAGGACTTGGCGCTCTGAGTCCTTGCCGGAATCCGACACCACCTTGTTGGTTCTGCAGTGCCAACACCCACAAAGCTGCTCTTCCTTACAGAACAGTTGGTTCCCAAATCTACAGGGGGGGGGGGTGCCTGGCCCAACCAGCTGAGAGTAACCAGGTATGGCTGGGAGAGACCCCTCCCTGAAATACTGGAGATCTGCTCCTAAGTCAGTGTAGACTACTGAGCTAGACCAATAGCCTGACTCTGGATAAGGCAGCTTTATATGTAAGGCAGCTTCATTCTCTGCTTCTGTACAGATCCTCCAGGCAACATATTTGAGAGTGCAGAAAGACCCATTTCCTGACAGCTATCTGATACGCTCCAAAGTGAACTGAATCTATTGCAGAGTGTGGATGGTGCCCTATATTTGACCTCACATCTGCAAGAGCTGCATACAGAGACCAGGGTGGAAGGCCATGAAGTATGCTAGAAGAAGAGATCTTCTCTTGCATGATGCTTTCTGTGTTTAGTAAAGGCATCCATACAGTGCCAATGGAGCCACCACACCTTTCCCTCTAAGCCACAAGAGGTTGAGGACGGTCTTTGTTGGAGCATCACTGCCACCTCTGACAACCCCATAAACACAGCTAGTTGCTGGCCAGGACCCTTCCCCGCCCAGCCTGAAAGCCTTTGAAGAAATGGATGCTTGTGAGTCTGCAGCCCCACTGCCGCATGGGATGTATGCCACCCTTTCAGTTGCAGCGCTCATGTGGGTGTTACTGGAACTCGCCAATAAGAATTATGATAGAGATGACAGCTCCCAATTGGGATGGCTCAAGGGCTTTTTGGGGGGGGTGGACTTTGGCTAGATATCCTCCATAAGCTTCCCACAGCAAGTCTTGCTCTTCACCAACACTATCACCAGCTGCTGCTTTTCCTTATCACGGCTATCACCTGCTTGCATGCCAGGCAGACTGATCCTTTGCCTGCTGCTGCACCATTGCCTAGGCAGAAATGAGAGAGATGCAGGAAACCAAGCAGGTTGCAATGGGGAGCAGGAGGGGCAGGTCCAGGGGGCTCTTCTGAGTGGGCCCTTGACTGATGCCCCATCATGCTGACCCACCATGCAGTCATAATAATCATAAAATAAAATTAATAATAATAATAACCACCAAAATAAGTGACATCTGATTCTCCTATGTTAACCAGGGGAGATGAAGGCTGGCTAGCTGGTTGGCCATTCATTATAAACCATTTAACACAAGGGCAGGTGTGAAGTAAATTACTTGGGGGAAGTAACTTGTTAGTTCAGATTAACATGTGCCAAAGCAAACACCCACACAGATATGTTAGCACAGATTTGTGTTGCCTGTCACATGCTCATCAAAGGGAGTTACCAGGAAATATTTCAAAGAACACAAGAAAGATAAGTAGGAGGTTGTTTACTTAAATGTTTGATCTCCATTGCAGGACGCTTTCAGGTTTTTTTAAAAATGGCACTATATAAGCTTTAGGCACTTGCTTTAAACATGGTTATTCAAGGAAGTCCGTAGCTGAGAAAATGGGTTTTCTGATGGTCCTAGTCCCTCTTGTTTTTTGGTCTTGTGGAATGCTGCTTTTGTTCCTTGCTGGAATTTTCAGCTCCTTGGGTTGTGTTTTATTATGATTGTGGTTTAAGGAATTTTGTGGGGGGGGTTTATATCATAATGTTTTGATGATGTAAACCATCTTCAGTTCTCCCCTCTGCCCTTTTAATCTTATGTTTGTTTTTGTTTTTTAAAAAAATCTTATTTCTACACGTTAATATTTATTATTACCATTATCATTGACAAGAGATTTCTACCATGCTCCTTCAACTCTAAAAGGGTTCAAGTTAAAGTTTTGCAAATCAAAAGAAAACTGGTTCTCCCTCCTTTGTAACAACTTTTTTTTATATTCAATGTGGCTAATGTCACAGTTTGACTTCACCCCCAGAGGTACATTCCATTGTCTCTCAAGACAGAGGGATGCCGGCAACAACATGTCACAAGTATAACCCGCCCTTCATCGTAAGATGTTCTCAGGGCAGGTCACACTATATACCAACACATAAAACCACATATAAAAATAAAACATGCTTAAAAATGCAATATACTGTTCAATGAAGACCCACTTCTGTTTCACAATTCAGCCGAAAGACCCATTGTTATTCAAAAAGCCTTGGAAGAAGAGGAAGTTTTTCAAACTCTCAGCGTCTTGATTAAATACTTGTTGGCCTAGCAGATAGCATCCACTCCTTGTTAACCGTACCAGATTAATTTGGGGCTTTATCCTTTATTAGACATAGCAAACCACACATTATCAAACAAACTCCTTATACAAATTGTGCAAAATATGAATTCAGTATAACAAGGTCAGATCTTTAACTCCAGAGAAAATCAATTTGCATAAATAATACAATATAACACTATCACATCACCAATCAATTAAGAACCACTAAATCTCTTTATAATGGCCCAGTCTTTCTACATGGACAGCACTCAAAAATTCAGCCACTATTAAAGTAATTTGATCATTCCTGTCCAAGAGCAGGTCCTGAGCCATTGGTGGCATAGAATTGAGCCTGTTAAGTTGTAAGGCCTCTAATAATTGTCTTCTGGCATAAATGTCAAAATCACAAGAAAAGAAAATATTTTGGGGCTTCATTTTCTTTCCTAATGTAATTGTCTACTCAATGACACTTTAAAATTGGGAGAAAGTAATCACGCAGGATCTTAGGGGAAAGGAACTGCCCTCAATTCATTATACCGTCACAAGGGACTCCTAATAAGGCTTGGACATATCAGAGATAGTATGTACTACCTTTGACCTGCTGGATCCTGTGCCAAGAGGGCTCTCAGTTGGTGGGTTCCTTAATGGATCTAGGACCCAACAACTGCCCCATCTTACCAGTGCATGGTGCCTGCTCTGGTTCAGCAGAGACATAACGTACATTGCATCCTCCATGCAGCGTATAATTGCACAACTCTATTTGGGGAGTTGTGCAATTATACGTGCAATTATATCAAACCTCTCCATTCTTAAGGAAATCAGCCCTGAGTGCTCACTGGAAGGACAGATCGTGAAGCTGAGGCTCCAATACTTTGGCCACCTCACAGGAAGAGAAGACTCCCTGGAAAAGACCCTGATGTTGGGAAAGATGGAGGGCACAAGGAGAAGGGGATGACAGAGGGCGAGATGGTTGGATAGTGTTGTCAAAGCTACCAGCATGAGTTTGACCAAACTGCGGGAGGCAGTGGAAGACAGGAGTGCCTGGCGTGCTCTGGTCCATGGGGTCATGAAGAGTCGGACACGACTAAATGACTAAACAACAACAACAATTTGGGGAGTAAAGCTCCTAGCATGGCAGCTGCTATTCACACTGATCTCTAGATCGCTTGGCCATGTGCAACAAACACTGCATGCAGAAGTCTGCACCATATGGGTGTTGCTGAAGATTCTCAGCACCTTGCCAAAGTCAGATGCCTGTCACAGCATTTTGCCTGGCCAAGTGGGTCAGCAGCTTGTAAACTATACCTGCCTCAACTGGCACTACTGGTTGCAAGCCAATCAGCAGCAGGTGCAGTGTGTGTGTGTGTGTGTGAAGACTAGATGAGTTTTGACTTCAGCTAACATTCACACAACTATGTTCCATGCGTGCATTGATTTACTCAAGCCACATATTCCATATCTCTAAAAAGTGACCACCACATTCATAAGTCTATTGCCCTCTTCACTCATTCAGCTGTACGTGTGTCTCTCAGTATATCAAAGAGGCTAATGGCACGGTGGGCTTCTATTCATGGTCTCAAAAGAAACAAGTCATTGGTACACGTTTGGGAATCACTAGTTTAAATCATATGGCTTGTGGGAAATATCTAGTTCCCTAAAGCCTAGGTGTTTATGGACAGTCTTCTTAGGAGCTACAACATTTCCCCGTAGAGCACACAAATGAAAAGTGTGGTTGTACACACACAACACTAAGCTAAGTTATAACTGTGTCTGTGTGAGCTAAAAGACCACTTCTGAGGTTTCCCTTGGCCCATGAAACAAGAACACTTCTTTGTGGTAGCACTCTGTTCACTTGGGTGTTTAAAAACCAGAGAGCAAGTTTTAATTAAAAGAGAAAACCCAGAGGCATCTCACCACAACGTGATTCACAGAGGCAGCACTGAAAAGGCCATACAGCAAGTGGACTCCTAAATAACAAGAGCCAAATCCTATATTGTCCAGTCCTTCAAACACCATCAGCATGGAAAAAAATATTTAGCTATAGTGAAATAACATACTGTTCAACATTGGCATTAATTGTTTTGAAAACACAGCACACAACAATAGCAGGGGTAGGTATACAAGTGACAGATAAAAAATAATTTAACGCATGTTAGCTCTTGTCTCTGATTCAAATCTTTCTGACATATTTCATGTAGCTATTGTTTTCCCTTACCTGGCACACACAAAAACATTCTAAAAGCGACATTCCTTTGCAATTACTTTGACATGTTGCTTTCCGCAGAATTGCTCTTGCATGCACCAACAGCACATAAGGTGTCCGGTTAGGATCTTTTCCAGTGAAATCTGGACATACAAAAACATGTCTGGTTTATTGCACCTGAAGGGTTTCAAACAAAGTCGGCCAAAGACTACCTGTTTAAGCCTCATTGAAAGGAATGGAGATTATGCCTCAAAACCAACTAACAGAATTTAGCATTTACCATATTTTTTGCTCTCCAAGACTCACTTTTTCCCTCCTAAAAAGTAAGGGGAAATGTGTATGCGTCTTATGGGATGAATGCAGGCTGCACAGCTATCCCAGAAGCCAGAACAGCAAGAGGGATTGCTGCTTTCACTGCATAGTGATCCCTCTTGTTGTTCTGGCTTCTGAGATTCAGAATTTTTTTTTTCTTGTTTTCCTCCTCCAAAAACTAGGTGCGTCTTGTGGTCTGGTGCGTCTTATAGAGCGAAAAATACGGTATGTAGCACCCTTCCATACAATCATTTCAGAAAATCCTTCACCTTTAAAAACAGATTGGCATTATTATCTCCATGTTACAGATGAAGGGCTGACACAGAACTGATTCACACAAGTATTTCTATCATCTGGGGACCTTAAACAGTGGGGGTGACTTACATGTGTGAATAGACTATTTCAGTTAACTACGGATCAGGCCAACCAGGTGCCTGTAAGAAAACCTCAAGCAGGATCCGAACACATGAGCACTTTCTGTGGTTTCCAGCAACTGGTATTAAGAAACCTTCTTGCCTCAGACTACGGAACAGAGCATAGCCACCATGGCTAGTGGCCATTGATAGCCTTATCCCCCACAAATTTGTCTTTTAAAGCCATCCAATCTGGTGGCCATCACTGTGAGAGCAAGCTGCAGTTGGACTGTGCGCTAACGTTATGCTGCAGCCCGGTTTTCTCACCACTTCATATACAATGCTCTTCAGGGCTGGGAAAGACTTGATTGAACGTCCAGTGAAGAGCCACTACAAGGAGACATTTGACCTCCGAGTCTGGGGGTACAGTAGAGACACAATTCTCGTTCTCTGGCCCTTTATATACACAACACATTCTGTATTTATTTATTTTTTTAATCTGCCTTTGAATCTGAGAATAAGCTTGTCTATTATTTTTTACAAAATAGAAACAAACTGTCAGAAAGAATTTTGGCAGTTCTTATAAATCACAAAATCCCACAAGAGACGTGTTTGAAAACCTCAAACTCCTGTCCAACAATGCCCTCTACTGGAAGAATTAAAGCATGCAAGAAAGAGATTTGTCTAACAATACAGTGGTACCTCGGGTTACAGATGCTTCAGGTTACAGACGCTTCAGGTTACAGACTCCGCTAACCCAGAAATGGTACCTCGGGTTAAGAACTTTGCTTCAGGATGAGAACAGAAATCGCACGGCGATGGCACGGTGGCAGCAGGAGGCCTCATTAGCTAAAGCGGTGCTTCAGGTTAAGAACAGTTTCAGGTTAAGAACGGACCTCCGGAATGAATTAAGTTCTTAACCTGAGGTACCACTGTACTGCATTTGAAGAGGCCTCCGTGAGAGAACACAAGAGGCATTTTCTGACTGGGGGCAGGTGTCACCAAAAGACAAGAGTAAATTACTTTCTCTGCATCGCCTAAACTTCCTGCTGCTTTTTGCATTGTTCTGTCAGGGTTTGCTGGAAATATATACTCAGCTCCAGAGTTGCTTGGTAGACAACATGTAAAGTACTGTATCTAAATTCATGTATTTGTTGAGCCTCTAAATGCCTCCCCCACCCTGAAAAGAGTATTCGATGCTGCTGCTCATCCTGTCCATATACCTATTGTAATGTATGTAGGTGTTCATAAATGCTACTTTATAACTCCGCCCACAAATGTTATATCCAGTATTTTAGGTATAATGGCAGGGATTTAGGTGTGGAACTGGATTGTCCACCTTTGGGTGTTGTGTTCAGCTGGCTTTCTTTTTTCCCCTTCTGCATTTTTTTAAACAATCCAACAAATAAGCACCTGTAATGAAAACCTAAAAAGAAAAGCAGGACTGTAAAGCTCTTAAATGAAAAGGAGGCCACGGATGCATTCAAAGCCATCACAACAGTAATGGATTATTTTTATTTCAGCCAGGTAAGTGAACAGTTAGTGTTAATTTATTAAAGGTTTCAAGGTAAAGAAATCAAATACTGTATTCCAAACAAATAATTCAAATTTATTAGAGAAAAGTTTGCTCCTTAAAGCTAATGCTGTCATCACCCGCCACCACGTGACGGACATTTTACATTTTGCAATAACAGAACCGTCTTTCCAATGTGAATCAACAGGGTAGAAAGGAACTTAGGAAATTAATCTGTTCTTTGCTAGGTCCATAATTTTTGTAGTTGATCAGCCAGGGCATGTAGTTAATT